GAATCTTCATGCTATACTTATGTCACAGCATGAAGAAATGAAATGTGGAAGATGGTAGAATGCCATTGTTTTTTTTTTAAGATTTATTTTTATTATTTTTTTTTATTGGAAAGGCGGATATATAGAGAGGAAGATCTTCTGTCCGATGATTCACTCCCCAAGTGAGCGCAACGGCCAATACTATGCTATGCCGATCCGAAGCCAGGAGCCTCTTCCGGGTCTCCCACATGGGTTGCAGGGTCCCAAAGCTTTGGGCTGTTCTCTACTGCTTTCCCGGGCCACAAGCAGGGAGCTGGAAGGGAAGTGGGGCTGCCGGGATAGAACTGGTGCCCATATGGGATCCTGGGCGTGCAAGGCGAGGACCTTAACCACTGTGCCACCGCGCCGGGCCCAATACCATTGGTTTTGACCTTGCAGGTTGTAGGCCTGGCTGTTTCGTGATGACTGAGGACTTTTTTTTTTTTTTTTTTTCCATTTGGGCAGATCAGGATAGATGGGGACTGATGGATGAGGGCTTTCCAGTTAGGGGAGCAGCAGTGCGAAGGCATGGAAGGAATGGTGTGTTTAGCATCGCAGATGCAGAAGGATCTGTGAACAGGCCAGGAGGAGCCCTCACGGTGTAGGATGGCGCAGATGCTTATTACAGTCCTGGTTAATGAGCCCTGTCTTGGCCTTCTCCTCTTGAGAGGAATGTGAGCAAACTGGATGGTTTAGAGGGGAGCAAGATAAATGAATCAGGGCAGGCAGAGGTAAAGGATGTGGAATTGATGACTCACAAGTGTGCCAGGAAAGGCTGAGCGTGTGGGCAGAGCTGAAGAGGTGGCACTGACGTGGCGACGCCATCTCACGTGCACTGAGCATTGATACTGGGTAGGGTAGCATTCAGAGCTGTCTGTGTTCTCATTTACTCCTCACTGTGACCTTCTCAGATAAATACTAGTAGAGATGGAATCACCAGGAGTGCTTCAGGTTTTGGATTTTTTAAAAAATTTTTTTTTACTTTGAAAAATTTGCTTATATATACATACTTTGCTTATGTAAGAGTGGTGGAGAGAGAGGAAGAGAGAGAGATATCTGAAAGGGAGAGAGAGAGAGGTATCTTCCATTTCTGGTTTGGAAGATTGTGAGGCGCAGCAGGGATGGGCAGGTTGCAGCCTAGGAGGAGGCTGAGAAGGGTGGCTGAGAAGGCCGCACCAGAAGGCGGTTTCCTCCTTGGTCAGCAGTCCAGCAGTGACACATGGACCCACCAAAGTTGAAAGGAGCCTATGACACTCCAGAAGGCACATTCCTTAGCCCCTCAAACCCTACCTCCACAGCCCCCTAATGAAACTATCCCTCGTGTCCCCTCGGTGGGACTTCCCTGACCCACTGTCTGTATCAGACCAGTGAACCTTGCCCGGGACCACTCCCAATAAAGCTTGTTTAAAGCTGAACTCTATTCTATGTGGGTTTCTGGTTCGGAAAATGAAGCTTACAAAATATCTTCCATCTCCAAATGCCTGTAACAGTTGGGGCTGGGCCACACCCAAGCCAGGAGCCAGGAGCCAGGAGCCAGGAGCCAGGAGCCAGGAGCCAGGAAATGGCCAAACCAGGAGCGAGGGAGCCAGGATCCAGGAGCTCTATCCAGGTCTCCCACATGGCTACCAGGAGCCCAGATACTTAGGGCAGTCATTTGCTGCCTCCCAGTTATGTTAGCAGAAAGCTGTGTCCGAAGCGTGGATTAGCTAGGACTCAAACAGGTATTCTAATACAAGACACAAAGATCTGCCCCTGCCCCAGTGTGGCTGTATTTTGACTGCAACTTGACACTGGAGATCAGTTGTGGAATTTTCCACTGGTGGTGTCATGTCAATTACAAAAGGTTTTGGATTTTGGAGCTCAGAGATTTTCTGATTAGAGATATTCCACCTCACTGTCATTCCCAGAGGAATGAAGAAGAAAAGGCATTTGCTGTGGCTACAGAGCTGAGGTTTAAAAGTCTGTTTGCTCTGTCACTGCATCATCTTGCCTGTAGCTAGAGGGACTGCTGGGTTTCTTTCTTTCTTTTTTTTTTAAAGATTTATTTTTTATTTTTATTGCAAAGTCAGATATAGGGAGGAGGAGAGACAGAGAGGAATATCCTCTGTCCGATGATTCACTCCACAAGTGACCACAATGGTTGGTGCAGCGCCAATCCAAAGCCAGGAGCCAGGAGCTTCTTCCAGGTCTCCCACATGGATGCAGGGTCCCAAGGCTTTGGGCTGTCCTCGACTGCTTTCCCAAGCCACAATCAGGGAGCTGGATGGAAGGAGGGGCTGCTGGGATTAGAACCAGTGCCCATATGGGTTCCTAATGAGTTCAAGGTGAGGACTTTAACCACTAGGCTATGGCGCTGGGCCCAGGCTTGCTGGCTTTCAAGGTAATATGGGTTTGCTATTTTCTGAAGTCTTGCTCCTCTGTTTGCCTTTGACCCCCAGAAGAATTATGGCTTATTGAAGTAGACAAGGAAGCAGGGAAAGCAGAGTACTGGTGACTCAGTTTTCTAAAACATGACCCCCAAGTGAAGGGTAAATTTGTACTTACTGTTTTCTGAAAGAAGAAAGTAGTGGTGAAAAAAAAATGTACCAATTTTGGGAGCAGCAGAGATAAAGTGTCAAAGTTGGATTGGAGGGCCAGCGCTGTAGCCTAGTGGCTAGGGTCCTTGCCATGCATACATATGCCGGACTCCTGTATGTGTGCCGGTTTGTGTCCCAGCACCCCCACTTCCCATTCAGCTCCCTGATTGTGGCCTGGGAAAGCAGTAGAGAATGGCCCAAAGTCTTGGGACCCTACACCCACTTGGGAGATCTGGAAGAGGCTCCTGGCTCCCGGCTTTGAATCAAGCTCAGCTGCAGCCATTGCAACCACTTGTGGAGTGAACCAGTGTTTGGAAGATCTTCAGTTTCTCTTTCTCTGTGTAAATCTACTTTTCCAATGAAATATATATATGTTTATATATATATATAATATATATATATATATACATGTATATATAATATATTGTTTTTAAGTAAGAATGGTTTGTAGTCCGGTATGGTGGCCTAGTGGCTAAAGTCCTCACCTTGAACATGCTAGGATCCCACATGGGCGCCGGTTCTAATCCCAGTAGCCCGCTTTCCATCCAGTTCCCTTCTTGTGGCCTGTGAGAGCAGTTGAGGACAGCTCAGAGCTTTGGGACCCTGCACCCGCGTGGGAGACCTGGAAGAGCTTCTGGCTCCTGTCTTCGGATTGGTGCAGCTCTGGCCGTTGTGGTCACTTGTAGAGTGAATCATTGGACAGAGGATCTTCCTCTCTGTCTTTCCTCCTCTCTCTGTATATCTTTCAATAAAAATAAATAAATCTTTAACAAAAAAAAAAGAATGGTTTGGAAAGAGAAAGTCTATACAAGAGGTACGTCTAGTCTGTCAGGGCCAACCCCATCTGGACTGCCTACCCTGCATCCTGCATCTGTGTGCCCAAGCTTTGCTACCAATTCTGACTTCCTGCTATTGTGCATGCTAGAAGGCAGTGGTAGAAACTTAAGTAGCTGGGTCTCTGCTATCTGTATGGGAGACTTGTGTAGAGTTTCCAACTCCTGGCTTCCTGCTTAGCCTAAACCTGGCTATTGTGGGCATTTGGGAAGTGAACCAGCAGATGGGAGCGCTGTCTGGCTCTCTGCTTTTCAAATAATAAAACAAAACAAACCTTCATTTTTGTATCGCTCAATGCTTTCAACTGTTCTGTATAACCTTTCTGTGATTTATATATATCCATGTATATATATATAATGTATACATCATATATGTGTATATAATGTATATATTTGAGAGAGAGAGAGAGAGATTGATTTTTGGTCTGGTGGTTCACTCCCCAAATACCTATAACAGCCAGGGTTGTGTTATGCCAAAGCCAGGTGCCTGGAACTCCACTTGGGTCTTCCACATTGTGGCAAGAGCACAGTTACTTGAGACATCAACTATGTCCCAGGCAGGGTGCATTGGCAGGAAGCTGGATTGGGACTCAAACTGGCACAAATACAGGGTAGTGGGATCTCAAGTGGCAGCTAAACTGCTGTGTCAAATACTCCGTTTCTCCCATGATTTACTCCCCCGCCTTTTTTTTTTTTCTTAATGGATACAGATTCATTAACCAACTTTAAGAAAGAGCAATTTTTAAAAACTTCTTTGAAAAGGAGCATTTGCTAGTCATGTATGATCAGTCTGCTGATGATTAAGGCAGTGCTACTGCATGTTATAAGTGTGCTGTCCTTGAGTCACTTAGACCACAAAGGCTGCCATATCCTTGCTCTCTCTGTCTCTCTGTCTCTCTCTGTGTTTCTGGAGGTTATGGAAATGAGTGAGAGATGTGATGTTTTTTTTTAGCAGTAGACCCACTTCTTTGTACTACAAGGTTGTATTTGTAAAAATGCTGATATGACCAGACTTTAAGTTTTTATCTAAGCAACCAGTCTGTGATTTAAGATCACAAAATGAGGGACTGGTGCTGTGATTGATTAGTGGATAAAGCTGCCACTTGTGACATCCACTTTGTATAAGGATATTGATTTGATTCCCAGCTTCTCCACCGCCAATCCAGCTCCCTGTAATGTGCTTGGGAAAGCGGCAAAGGCTGGCCCACATCCTCAGGCCCTGTACCCAAGCAGGAGACCTGGAAGAAGCTCCTGACTTTGGACCAGCTCAGATCCTGTCATTGTGGCCATCTGGGGTGTGAACCAGCGGGTGGAAGATTGCTGTCTCTCCCCTTCTCACTCTATAACTGCCTGTCAAATATTTAAAACTCACAAAGTGATTAAAACACTGTGTTTGATTAGTAGAGATGATAGCTCCTTGCCCCTTGTGGGCTTGCCTGAGGAGATGTTTATTGCTCTGGCTTTTTGACAAGAGTTCAAAAAAAGATCCTTAGCATATCTTTATTGTTGACACATACTCTGCGTATTCCTTCCAAATGAATACATTGTAAGCATTTGGATTTACTTTGACCAGGTGTTTATATCGTCCTTTCCTTGGAGATTAACGCAGATGCCCACGTCCAAGGCTATGTTGGAGAAAAGGTCAAGTTGAGGTGTACCTTCAAGTCAACTTCAGATATCACTGACAAGCTGACCATTGACTGGACGTACCGCCCTCCTGGCAGCAGTCGCACAGAGTCGGTAAGTGCACACCTTCCCTGGAGCTCTTTCAAGTTTGGTGTCTAAATCCTTTCGCGGCCAATCACAGGCACACCTGAGGGCTTCTTGTCTTGGAAACAGAAGATGGGCACCACTCCTGGAGATTTAGTTGGTCGCAGTGTGCTTTTTAGTCTTCCATGTAAGAATCTGCAGATCAGCTATAGGGGGAAAAGAAACTGTCAGAAACTCAGAAGAAATGTGGTCTGATTTTGTTTCCTCATTGTTGTTCCTTTGTGCCTGGTTATTGTGGCTTTGCTGTCAGAGGTGGTGTATTTAAAAGGGCACCTCCAGACAGTTGGGGAGAAAAATTCTGTACGTCTCAGTCACAGACACCCTTTGTCTGAAAGCTGCTCATTTCCTGTGTTACCAAGTTGACTCAGTGGGTGTATCTGTGTGCCTATCTGTAGGTTTATCTTGGCATTTACTCCTGGTGTGTAAATATCTGCATTGATTTATACAGGCACCATTAAAGGAAATGGTAATCTTGGGATACTAGAGGCAATATACTTCCTTCACACATATGAAAACGTGTTTATGGTTCAAATCCCACTGTGGGTGTCTAATTGAAGGTTGCAATACTATATATATATACACACACACACATCTGTATTATAATATAGATGCATAAACATTATATATGTATATATATGTATGTGTATATATATATATATATATTTGTATACATACCCAGCAGGAGTCTTAACTCAAGAAAAATGCTATTCAGTAACGTGAATGTCACAGGTGTATGTAAGAGTGTATTTTCAAAATTATCCTTAAATTTTTTTTTTTTTTGTATTTCCAAATGCTGCTTTATTCAGTTTGTAAGTTTTCTTTCTTTTTTTTAAATTATTTTTTTATTGATTACATTGCATTATGTGACACTGTCTCATAGGCTCTGGGATTTCCCCAACCCTTCCCCACACCCTCCCCAAAATTATCCTTAAATTATCTGTTCTGTTTCCATTATTAAAAGATGTTCTCTTTGATTTTCATGTGTAATCTTTGAATTCTCTTTTTGGAGGCAGTGTTAAAGGCCACACATAGCTTGGAGTTAGGTAGGTGGCTCGAATGGAGGAAGCCAGGTTGTCTTCACAGGTTCTTTTTCTTTAGACATAAATAGTTCTCTTTATTCTGAGCAATAGGGAAACTTTGGCTGGCCTTATTCAGCTCTGTCTTTCTAGCCAAAATAGATCAGAGCAAGCCGTGGGGGAGCTGCTTGGGTTGGAAACCTTACATGCACACATGTTCTTTTTTTTCTTTTTTCGGTGAAGTACTCTGTGAGGCTGGTCAGAAAATCAGCACACTCACCCCAGTTGCAGAGAGGGAGCCCATCACATCATATCACGTGATGTTGTTGTTGCATAATCAGGATTCTCTCAGATTAACCAATTAGCAAATGCTCAGAGATTAGATTGATCTTGAAGAAATATGTTAGGCCTTTTCTTTTTAAAAATATCTGTTACTGTGGGTGCCAGTTCTAATACTGGCAGCCCAGCTTCTCTTCCAGCTCCCTACTTGTGGCCTGGGAAAGCAGTCGAGGAAAGCCCAAAGCCTGGGGACTCTGCACCTGCAAGGGAGACCTGGAAGAGGCTCCTGGCTCCTGGTTCAGATCGGCTCAGCTCTGGCCTATTGCAGCTACTTGGGGAGTGAATCATTGGACGGAAATCTTCCTCTCTGTCTTTCCTCCTTTCTGTGTGTCTGACTTCCCAATAAGAATAAATGAGTCTTAAATATATATATATATTTATATTTGTTGTTATTATTTTTATTTGAAAGGTATATTTTACAGAGAAGGAGAGATGGAGAAGGACTTCCACTCACTGGTTCACTCTCCAAATGGCTACAAAGGCTGAGCTGATCCAAAGCTGGGAGCCAGAAGCCTCTTTTGGGTCTCTCAAGTGCGTGTAGAGTCCCAAGGATTTAGACCATCCTTCACTTTTTTCCCCAGGCCCTAAGCAGAGAGCTGGATCTGAAGTGGAGCAGCTGGGAACATCAACTGGCACCTGAATAGGATGCTGGCACTACAGGGTTGAGGATTGGCCTGCTGTCCTACTGTACTGGCCCCTATGCCTTCTTTTGTCAGTGAATTTCAAACTTTTTCCTATTGACTGATGCCTATAGTCATTGGTGAGCATTGTCTACCTCACTCTTTCCCACTAAAATGCAAATTATAAAAGAGAGGGGCTATGGCTAGGGGGTCCCTTGCTTAATATAATACCTGACACAGGGCAGCTGTGAGCAAAATATTTGTTCCATGAATTCATGAACAAAGGAAGCAATAAGTGATTCAGCAGATTGTTTAGGAAGTTACTCTTCAGAATTGGGAAATTCTATGGTTGCAAAGGCCTGAGTTGGTAAGTGGGAAAGTGAGGAGCAAACAAAGAAAGAGGAAAGGCTTCTATGTTGCATAAGAGATAGAAGTCGTGTTGTGCTGAAGCATTTGCCCAGGCCACCTCCCAACGGTCTTGGATACTTTGGGTGATGATGTGTTTGATCACCAAGTTCAAAGCAGCATAGTTTTAATTGAATACACATTCATTAAGTACTTACTGGGCATCCGACTGACATTTGTTTTAGCTGCCAACGTAGATGACTTGGGGGGAGGGGCTGAATTATATTACACCCTCCTGGCCATTTTGAGAATAAACAAATCTCTCTTGTGTCAATTACTAGTTGTGTTCCTTTGAAACTTCCTTTGTTTTTTTTTTTTTTGTTTTTGATCTTGTTTCCCTTTCTACCTGTTTGGAATAGTTACGCTAGTAATCACATAGTTCAGTGTTGTTATGAGGCCCCAGTGAGGACATGTATGAAAGTCGTTTGCAAGCTGTATAGTGCCACACACACATTAGGTGTTGCCTTAGTTCCTCAAACTTTGACAGTGTTGACATTTTGAGCTGTATCATCTTTGTTGTGGCGGGCTGTCCTAGGCACTATAGGCTGTTTCACAACATCCCTGGCTACCCACTGCACTCCATAAATACATGCAATTATTGGTCAGAAGTAGATAAATACAATTAAATATTTTCAGATGCCTCCAGAAGAATGGAAATTCTGGTCGAGAGTGATTGCTTTAGGACTTTGGGAAGAATTTTTTTGCAGAGACACAAGGATTAGCTTGCTAGGATTCTCTCTCATCAGTTTTTTTTTTTTTTTTAAAGATTTATTTTTATTGGAAACTCAGGTATACAGAGAAGAGGAGAGACAGAGAGAAAGATCTTCATCTGGTGATTCACTCCCCAAGTGGCCACAGCAGCCAGAGCTGAGCCAATCCAAAGCCTCTTCCAGGTCTCCCACGCAGGTGCAGGTTTTGGATCATTCTCTACTGCTTTCCCAGATCACAAGCAGGGAGATGGAAGGGAAGTGGGACTGTCGTGCTTAGAACCAGTGCCCATATGGGATCTTAGGTGTGCAAGGTGAGGACTCTAGCCACTGGACTATCATGCCAGGCCCTCTCATCAGTTTTTTTTTTTTTTTTATGGTCAGTTTTCTTAAATGGTCAGTTATATTTAAAAGCATCTAAAAAACAAAACATAAAACAAAACAAAGTTAGCCCAATTTAAAATAAACCCCATTGTATGAATCTTTTATTTGGGATCTACGCAGCCATATATATTTATTGCATTTTCCAAATTAACTCTCTCCTCTGATGTTGCCTTCCCAGATTTTTCATTACCAGTCTTTCCAGTACCCAACCACAGCTGGCACATTTCGGGATCGTATTTCCTGGGCTGGAAATGTGTACAAAGGGGATGCGTCCATAAGCATAAGCAGCCTCACCCTGAAGGACAATGGCACATTCAGCTGCGCTGTGAAGAACCCCCCAGACGTGCACCACAACATCCCCCAGACGGAGCTCACGGTCACCGAAAGGGGTAAGCTCGCCACCACCAACCTTCTGTGACCACGCTGGTGCCTCTGGGAGACCCTGCCTGGGCCAAGCTACCTTTGGAAGGCACTTGGTCCCTGGGGTCACTGTGTTGGAAAAATGTTTCTGACCTCCTGATACCTCTGTTGGGATGAATTTGTAGATCTTTTGTTATTATTTTTTCAAAGATTTGTCATTTTTATTTGCTAGGCAGAGTTATAGATTGAGAGAGTGAGGGAGAGAAAAAAGAGAAAGACATCTTTCATTCACTGGTCACTCATGAAATAGTCACAATGGATGGAGTTGGGCTGTTCTGATGCCAGGAGCCAGGAGATTCTTCTGGTCTTCCACTGTGGATGTGAGGACCCAACCACTTGGGTCATCCTATGTTGCTTTCCCAGCTACATTAGAAGGGAGCTGGATCAAAAATGGAGCAGTCGAGCCCAGTACAATAACCTAGTGGCTAAATCCTTGCCTTGCTTCCGGTGAGATCGCATATGGATGCTGGTTTGTATGTTGGCTGCCCCATTTCCTATCTGGCTCCCTGTTTGTGGCCTGGGAAAACAGTCGAGGATGGCCCACACCCTTGAGATGCTGCACCACATGGGAGACCTGCAAGAAAATCCTGGCTTCTGGCTTCATATTGGTACAACTCTGGCCATTGGTGGCCACTTGTGGAGTGAGTCAGCGGACAGAAGATCTTTCTGTCTCTCCTCTCAGTATATCTGCGTTTTCAATAATAATTAAAAAAATACATACATATAAATAAAATTTTTAAAAATGGAGCAGCCAGGACTGAAAACTGGTGCCCATATGGGATGCTGACACTGTAGGAGGCAGCTTAACCTACAGTGTCAAAGCGCTGGCCCTTTATTTTGGAAATGGCATTTTCTGTGTGAGTATTGGCCTATTTTTTTTTCTGTGATCCCTATTTGAATTTTAAAGCTTCAGGTGACCACAGGTCTTGTGACTACATGGCTGCCCCTGAGTAAATGGATGGGCATTTCCCTGTGGAGTGGCAGGCATTGCAAGCGGTGGTATAATCTACTGAACAACAATGATGGCCTCCCAGTTTTTATCCTTCATTGTCCTCGTGTATGTATCCTCCCTTTTCCACCATGAGCTTATCCCTTCTGTAACCACAATAAATGTGGGAGCAGAAGTAGACTCCAGCTGATACCCATGGGAAGCAGGTGCACATGTCCTTGTCTTTTCACCTTCTTTTTCCTCCTGCAGGTTTTGGCACGATGCTCTCCTCTGTGGCCCTTCTCTCCATTCTTGTCTTCATTCCCTCAGCAGTGGTGGTGGTCCTGCTGCTGGTGAGAATGAGCCGGAAAGCTGCAGGGCTCAATAAAAGGAGCAAGTCTGGCTATAAGAAATCATCTATTGAGGTGTCTGACGAGTAAGTGTGAGCCCGCTCTGCGGGGAGGGGGTTCACAAATGCCTGTGTCTGCCTCTTTTCTTCCATGCTGACTTCAGTTCCGATGGTGAGATTTCCTTTTGAAGAGAATAGCTGTACACAGAAGTACTGGGAGGAAGCTGCAAGTGACACTTGGGGTTATGAACTTGGAGAGAGAGGGAAGGGTTGATGGTATCACCCCAGTCTCCTGCTTTGGAAATCAGATTGTACAGTGCTATAGTCCCAAGTATGAACTTGGACTTGGCTATGTCATTTTTCAAAGTTGGGAGGAAATCCCAAATCAGTTATTCTCTCACCTTTTGTTTTTGTTTTTTGATCCTGAACTGATGTCCTTTGATAGAAAAATACATGAGCAATGAAAGAAACCTCAAAAATAGCTGTGGAGGACAAAAGCATTTAAATCAGGAGTGCATCCGTGGTCAGCAGATGCTCTGTGGGAGCTAAGTGGTTTGTGGTAGAGCATTTATAAATGTTATGCTGCTGGTGAGCTGCTATGATCTGTGTTTACCCTGAAGACAGATCTACTTAAAAAAAAAAAAAAGAAATAAAAGCAAAGCATAAAAACCCCATTGATTCTACATTGTGTTTATCAGGGGTTCTTAACGTGGCAAGGACGGTTTTTCTCTGAGGGTATCCCAAGCTTTCCTTTTTTGTCTCTCTCTCTCAACTGTTTACAACACACACCCTGGTGCTTTTATGTGTTGGGGTGAGTGTGCTGCACAAGGACTCTGTGGCCCCAGAGAGATGACAAATGCTTAGTCAAGCTGTTTCTAAGCTCACCTTTATGGTCTGACCCTATTGTCATTGTTTTCTGCCACTTTTCCTCATTGACCCCACTATATTCAGGCAAAGTTTTCCTCTTGCCTAGGTTACCCTCCTTTCTCTCTTATTTGCCTGGAAGCACATTCTTACACTTGATCTTTGCCAAAAGGCCAAGAAGTGATCTGGAAGCACATTCTTATCCTGCAAGTCAAACTGAAATGTAGGCTTTCTCTTGAGTGCCCCTGGCACCATCAGGGGGGAGTAGGCACACCCTGTCCTTTGCTGCCACAGCAGTTTGACATTAATGCTACTAAAACATTAACCACATATCCTGTTGTAACATGCTTAAGTTTTGTTTTAGAAGATTTATATGAAAGGTTGAAATGATGGGGCATGGAAGGAAGGATCTTCAATCTGTTGATTCATTCCCCAAATGTCTATAAAAGCACGAGGTGTGGGCTGGCCCAAAGCCAAGATCCAGGTTTTCCATCTGAATCTCCCACATGCATGGCAAGAGCCCAGTTAATTGGGCCAGCAGTCTCTGCTCCCAGGTGCATTAGCAGGTCCCCAGATTGGAAGCACAGAATAGTCAGCACTTGATCCAAGCACTCCTCTGGGATATGGGCATTCTAATGGCTTCATCTGCTGTTGACACACACCTACCTCTGTTTGTTAAGTTTTAACAGGTTTCTCACCTCCATGAGATTGTAAGCTCTCCAAGGGACCATGTTTTGTTTATATCTTTACTTCCAGCACAACACAATTCTTAGATGTTGTTGGTGCTCGGTACATTTCTGAGTGAACAATTATGACTCATCCCTATTTACTGAGCACATACTACCTGCTGGGCACTGCATGGTACATATCTCACATGTATTTATATTTTATTTCTGCCTATGCTTAAAGGATGTGTGATAAGGTGTGCATTTTACAGGTGAAGGAACAGGCTATGAGAGCTTAATAATTTGCCCAGTCACCTAGCTCTTAAGTAGCAAAACCAGAATAAAAAAACCAGGCCTGTCAGTTTCTATACCTGTACTTTGCCATGTACTCCTCTGCTAAACACAGTGATCATTGTGGTTTGTTCTGTCCCCTTACTGTAGCACTGACCAGGAGGAGGATGATGATTGCCTGACAAAGCTTTGTGTCCGCTGTGCTGAGTGCCTGGTAAGTCCATGCTAGTTCTGCTCTGTTGATGTTGCACTTTTCAGCTGACTTAGCAGGCCTTTGCCTCTCTGTGGCAGCAGGAGCTGTGCAGGTAGGACCACACAGGGTATGAACCAGAGTCTTTGCCCAAAGCCTTCTGGTTCCAGGGAATCCCTGAGAGTGGTCACCATAATTTTGTTTTCCATTCTTGTGAGTATGGGCTAGTGTTCTTAGGTTAGGGAGAGGGCTGGGTGAAGCAGTATATGCTTGCAAGAAATCCTGAAAGAATGTCTTGTGCACTGGATTCATCCTAGGACACTTGGGCTGGACTCAGAGCCCCGAATTCTATTTTTCTGCTGAGCCTCAGTGTTTGCCAGGGATTTAGAACAAGAGAACTTTTAGGTAACTTGATGACTTTTCTCAGTAGATTGCCACATGAAAGGCTTAGGTAGGTTGGGATTTCAGTGTCAGAAGGTTGTTATGCCTCCCCTTGAGCATTTCCTGTGATTCAGGCCTGAGTGGCTGTCCTAGAACCCAAGGAGGAGGGCCTCTCTGACATGGGCCAGATGGAAGCAAGCCAACAGCCCTATGACCTCACATGCAATATTCCTGTCTGGGTGGAGGCTAAACTTGAGCCCTATCCTTATTATCAAGTTGAACACTTGGCCAAGTGACCACAACCCAGCACTCATTGCAGAGTTCTTGGTTTCTCTTTCTTCTGTACACCTGGCTGTCCTAAGTAGGAGGGAAACATTGACAGTGCCAGTGGTAAGAACAACACAAAAGTTAATCAATGTTGTATGGTTATTTTCTGTGTTAAAACTAAATAAATGTCTGGGCTTTTTAAAAATTAATTTTATTTATTTATTTTTTAAAGACAGAGTGCCAGAAAGAGGAGAGGCAAAGGCAGAGAGAAATCTTCCCTGGTTGTGCTGGTTCACTTCCTAAAAGGCCACAATTGGCCCATCTTCCACTGCTTTCTAAGGCACATTAGCAGAGAACTGGATGGGAAACAGAGCAGCTGGGACTCAAACCAGAGTTTGGATATGGGATGCCCACATCAACATTATAGGCAACAGCTTAAGTCACTGCACTATAACTCTGCCCCCAATTATCTGCATTTTTATATGAATCATTCAACAGCGATTTGGTCTGACATGTGCTTTGTGCAGTATTGTAGATACTTAGGCACTTTCAGTGAATAAACTGACCTATCTCTCTATATATATCTATAGATCTATAGATCTATCTATCTATCTCCTTAAAGTACTTACTGTTCTTCACCTAGAAAACATCTCATTCTCCAAGATTCTATTGAGATTTCACCTCCTCTTAAATGGAAGAATGAACACTAACAGTACCTTAAAAAATAAAGAAAATATATAGTCAGCATTCTGTATCCATGGGGTTCTCATCTGTGGACTCAACTGAGGATGGAAAATATTTGGAGGAAGGACATATATCTGTACTGAACATGAACAGACTTCCCTGCCTTGCATTATTACCTGAAAAACTTAGCGTAACAACTGTTTGCACACTTGCCATACTATATTAGATACTGTAAGTTATCTATAGATGACTTAAAACAATCAGGAGGATGTACACAGGTCATAGGTAGATTTTAAGCTATTTTATATAAGTATCTAGAGTATGTACAGATTTTGGTATCCGTAAGAGTCCTGGAACCAGTCCCTTATGAATTGACCATGTGGTTTGTTAGGTCATGTGTAACACCAGGAGAAAAAATAAAACGGGAAAGGGGGATGAGATGGCTTCATAGGGATGTGATATTAACTAGGATGATTTAGGGATGCTGCCAAGGAGTTGATATTTAAGTAAATGCCTACAAGAAATGGAAGGCAAGCTGCATGGCTGTTGTGGAGGAGCACTTTAGGCAGGGGAAGTGGCAGGTGCTAGGGTTCTGGCAGTGGCATGATTTGTTTGTACTAGGAAGAGCAGGAAAGTGCAGTGGCTGGGATGCAGAGAGCAAGAGAAAGACTAGTATTTGTTGAAATCAGGATATAATGCAACAGCTGTGTCATATAGAACCTTATATGTAGTTGCAATGACTTGTACTTTTAATGAAATGGAATCCATTAGAGGGTTTGAGAAGAAAGCACTACAAATCAAATTTCAAAATTGTTTTGAAAGTATCACTCTGGCATTTGAGTTAAGGAGCTAGTAAGCTAGTGAGGGACCATGACACAATTAGAGAGCCTCATTAGGAGGCATTATCAGTAATCCAGGTGAGAGAAGCTGGTACAAGTTGGGGCCAGGCTGCTGCTGCTGAAGGCAATAAGTAGTTAATATTCAGATTCTAGTTTGAAGGTTAAGTCAGAAGGATTTATTGATGTTGCATGTCTGTGGGAAAACAAAAGGTATGGAGGATAATTCTAGATTCTTGGTATGAACAACTGAGTAGACTTGCCATTTTCTAATATGTGAAGACTACGGGTAGAACCAGTTTTAGGAGGAAGACTGGGGGTTAGGTTTAGATATAGGGAGTTTGAAATACTTCTTGAACTTTTCTAAGTAGAGATGTGGGAAAAGCAACTGTGGATTGGAGTTCAGTGAAGAAATCTCAACAGGAGATAGAGGCTTAGGCATCACTAACAGAGAAGTTAATAGAGACATTTTCATCAAGGAAGTAAATGTGTACAGAAGGAGAAGAAGTCTAAAGACTAAGTCTGGAGCTCACCTAGGTTCTAGACTGGGGAGAAGAAGAGAAATTATAAAGGAAGTGCTTAAAGGAAATCAAGTAAATGAGAACTGCATGTTGGTTACTGGACGGTTTGGTGATGTGGAGGGTGTTAGTGATCTTGGCTAAAGGAACTTCATTGGAATAGTGGGGATGAAAGACTGCCAGGAGGAGGAGGGTTCGACAGGTTATGAAGAAATGCACCAGAAACAGTGAATAGAAACAACCCTTTCAGATGTTGCTGTGGGTGAATGCAGGGGAATAGGGCAATAGACAGAGGGTGGTATGTGTCAAGATTTTCTTCCCCCCCTTTTTTTTCAAGTTTTATTTATTTTGAAAGTCAGCGTTAGAGGGATACTCATTAGATAGTATCAATGGTCATGGCTGGGCCAGGCCAAAAGCAGGAGCCAGGAACTTCATCTGGGTCTCCCACATGGGTGACAGGGACTCAGGAACTTGTGCTGTCATCCACTGCTTTTCTCAGGCCATTGTCAGGGAGTTGGGTTGTAAGTAGAGCAGCCAGGACATAAACTGGCATCTACAGGGGATGCTGATGTTGGAGATGACAGCTTTACCTGCCATGCCACAGCACTGGCCCCTGCTTTCCTTTTTATGATGGGAGAAATTGAGCAGATTTGAATTCTGTGAGGAATGGCCAGGAGGGAGCGAGGAGGGAGGGTTGCTGGGATAGTGGCAGGATCTGGTGCACAAACGGAGATGTTGGCCTTGGATGGAGGCAGGAAGCATAGGTCCAACTAGGAAAGGCCAACTGGATGGACTCAGTTGCAGGTGGGTGGGTAATTATGATGGGAGCTTATAGAAGTTCCCTGGTGACTGCTTCTCTTTTCCCAGGGATAGCAGAAAGCAAGGCCATTGGCTGACAGTGATGGGAGGAAGTATTGAGGTTTGGGTAAAGGTGACATGGTACAAAATATCATTCAGGGGAAATAGAATGGATTGTCTGGAGATGTTTGTTGTACCAAGGAGCTTTGTTGGTCCACTTGAAGTTAGAAGTAAGTAAGTAATTATTCCTTTTTTGAAAAGATATTTATTTGAAAGGCAGAGTTGGGGTAAGGGGAGATGCAGAGAGAATTTTCTATTTGCTATTGCCCAGATTGCTGCAACAGCCAGGGATGGGTCAGGATGAAGCCAGGAGCCAAGAGTTTCATCTGGACTTCCCTCATGGGTGGCAGGGACCCCAGGAACTTGAGTCATTTTCTCATTTGCTGCTTTCCCCAGCTGTTAGCACAAAGCTGTATTGGAAATGGAGCAGCCAAGACATGAATGCACATCTTTATGGGTTGCTGGTGTCTCAGGCAGAGGCTTTAACTGCACAACAGAGGCTTTAACTACCACAACAGATTCCAATGAATAAGTTTAAATAATCAGAATAATGTTCTTAGTAGCTACTCTTCCAATGAATCCTTACAAAGTGCCAGGTCCTATGCAGTGTTATATATAGTTCTCTTTAATTCTCATTAACAGTTCTATCAAGTGCAGGTGTTTTTGCTGTCCTCGTTTTATAGACAAGGAAACCAACTCTTGGAGAAGTGAAATAACTTTATACAAGATCACACGACCAGTAAGGGTAGAACTCAGCAGTAGAGTGACACCTCAATTCATTTTCTAAACACAAGCCGGCACTTTTTGCTGTAGCCAGGAGCCCTTTCTGGTAGGCTGAAGTTTCACATAACTATTCGCCAAGAAAAAGGAAGCCAGCAAATCAATTAGCCCAATATATGTAGATTATATTTGAGGTCCTGGGACACTTCATGGGAATTTAGGCATGTTGAGTCAGTGGCATTTGACTCTTATTGTCACTTCATGCCATGTTTTATTTGGAGGATAAACGCGTGGACCTTGGCGTTGTGCTGCACCTGCTGCCATTACACTTGCCATTCTCTCCCTGCAGGATTCCGACTATGAGGATACCTATTGAGAAAAGTGTGCGGAAGATAGAGTCACCTAGGAACAGTAACGACCCCATCCCACCGGCAGCTGAGACCTCTCGGAGGAGCAGAACTGACCTGGACAGCAGGGACAAGGATTCGGGAGGTCATCAATGAAGACACAAGGAGCCACTTATTTATTGAAGAAGTATTGTTTTTATATTTATAAACTGTTCAGAAACCCTCAGAAGAAACTCACGACTTCCCTTTCAACAGACTGCTCTCAAATGGAATGAGAAGTCTTCTTTTGGACAAAAGGATGCTTTTTGGTTCAGTGTTTTCTTCTGTTTCTGAAAGCTTGCCACACTGCTGATGCCAAAATAATTGTTCAGCAGCTGTGAATTAGTATATAGCATTGAGGCCTTAGGCTAACAAATCCAGCAATTTTATTTGGAAGACTTGATGCATTAATTCTCATTTCTGAAGAGCTGGGAAGATCTGGAGTGATTGGATTGCTTTTACTTAAAGTGTTGAATAAAGTGTCATTGGTTTACAGTTAAGGCAAGGGGTGGGGAAGATAGAGGAGTTCTGGCTTTGTTTTGTTTTAGGTCTTCTTGGCCCAAGGCAAATTTATTCCTTTATAGCTGACTAATTTGTGGTTTCCTTCTTGATTTCTTTCAATCTAGAAGCCAGAAAAAATCTTGAAAAGAATTTAGTGGGGATGTAAAGAATAGCAGTTTTTTGCACTTAAATCTTTGCCACTTGTATTGTTCTTCAAAATGTTGATTTCTAGAATGTGCTACCAGCTATGAGTGGATAATGATTTGCAAGCAGCTGTCCATTCTCCCACAGCAGTGTATTTCACATGATGATTTACATATTTTCTTTGTTTTGCACAGCACGTGAGGATGTATGTGTGACAATGTTAGGAAGGACTGGTATTATATGCTTAAGTAGGCTTGTGTGAAGGTGTGGTGAGGTTCACTTCTGCATTGGGGGAAGCAAAAGTTGTCTCCTTCCTCATCTTTGTTTTTTCAGCAGGAATTTCCCTCTCCATGGTCTTCCCTCGGTACCTCAAGAAGTTTTCATATTAAAGCATTATATATTGCAAGTGTCATAAAATCACACACACACACACACACACACACACACACACACACACACACACACAGTCAAGATCTCATCTTAAAAATTTGGGTCATCAGATCTGCCTGCAGGAAGTGCCCTGGCCTCCTTTGTTGGTTCACAAAGCAGAGAATCTGATTGGTTGCCTGCTGTGATTTATTTCTGGTCAGCTAAGGACTTAGCAGAGGTAGAGATAGGTCTGGCAGTTGCCAGTTCCAGTGGTTTAAGTGCTACAGTTCTTTGGGTCACTTGTTAAAGATGTGGTTGTCTGTGGCCAATCCAAATGAGACCAATTTTGACACTATAACAGACGAAAGCGAATTGAGCAAGAATAAAGTTGTGGAACCCTTGGAGGGTTGAAGACAGATCTAATTGTGTGGGGAACTTCTTATGGGTCTCACTTCTCTGCAAAAGAGATGATGTTTCCGGAACCCATTCAAAGCCACATCCCATAAAATGGGAAATCTGGTTTGATCTGGGTCTTCCCATAATTGCCTTGCAAGTATGTTATGAAGATGTGCCCAGCAGGGATGTTTGCTGTTTTCAGTAATAGGTGCTTTGTGAATATTTAGACGTAGTGAGTTGAAAAAGTCTCTTCTTTTTGAAATCACTAAGCCATTGAACACTTTGCGGTGAAGGAGTAAATTGGTGATACAATTTACTCCATGGGTTTGTGGTCAAATCCTGGCTGTAGACTGTCGGCGGTTTCCCACTGCACCGCTTGCACTGAGCTTGGGTTACAGCTTTTGTCCTCAAAGGAGCATGAAGCAGTAGGTGTGCACCTGCCTGCCTGAGGGATCACAGAGCAAGTTTGTGTCTCACCTGCTGTTTGAATACCTTCCAAGGTTCAGTTCTCCTTTGTTTTTGTCACTCCATAGACTCTTTTTCGTCACTTGGAGACAAGCTTGTCTAGAAAGGGTCAAAGATTTTCAGTATCTTTCTCTGGTAGCTAATGCCTTTGCTCATGGTTTCGTTCCCTTATGAGTTTTATTTTGCGTTAGTCTCTAAATTCTATTACAAAATGTGAACTTCCAAAGTATGTTGTTTCTCCCATGCTGCTGTGACTTTGGGCCACATGGGGAATCTCCTTAGTTTCCTGCAGCTTCCAGCATGGATACTAGTGCTTTAAAAGGGAAAAGTGCACATCTTTAAAAGAAGAAGAAGAAGAAAGAAAAAGAAAAAGAAAAAAGAAAACCCTGCAGGATAAATTCTGAGTGTGAATGTTCTACTGTCGCTTTTAGTTATGATTCTAGAGGGAGCTCTAAGACGAGTCACAGGACCAAGACTTTAACTGCACAGCTTAAAACCTTGCTGCCCCAAGGGGCAGCCCCGTTCCTTTGCCTTCAGTGTTAGACTGTTAACTGCTGTGTCTCATTGCCTTTTTGGCCTTTGTTTTATAAGAGGGTATGCACTGTTGGGCCATGTGCACAGATACTGTAACTCTTGGTATCTTTACCACAACATAATTAATAAATTTCTTTATGCCTTCCGGCTGCCTTTTGGTGTGCATCTGTGTTTCAGACTTGTCATGTGAAAGAGAGGGGGGTTTTGTGGTTTTCAGCATCAAGCAACCGGCTGTTTGAGCTGTACTCCAGCAAGAACCTACATAACATTGGTGGTCTGCAAGAACCAGCTACTGTGATAAGAACTGATGATGACATTTTTTGAGGAACTTTGCCAACTGAGTGTTAGACTGCTAGTTGCTTGAAGTAGTTCATGGTGGTAGTGTTTGTGCTATGGAAACTAAGGCTCACCAGCTTACCACCTCTTACAAACCACGTGGCACAGGTTTGAAGAACAGGCATCGAACAGCTTTACAAGTGATGTGGGACAACACTGTCTGACGAGATCTAGCCAAGGCTGAAAGAATATTCATTTTGAAGAGGCTAGTTAAACCCCTTCAGGTAAGGAGCCTTGAGTTCTCATTCAGGATGTTGGAGGTCCCCAAGGGCTTCTCCAGGAGAATGACCTGCTGGCTGTCCTCTGCAAACACTGATAGCCCAGGATCAGAGGAAATCTACATTGTCTAGGTGGTGTGGTGTAGGACTGAGCGGGCAACTCTGGAACCAGAGATTGGGTGACTGCACCTCTTGGCTGAAAGAACCTGAGAGGTTGCTGCATTCCTAAATCCAGAGTGAAACATTTTGTGGTTCTTTTAAATCATCTTCCGTTTTCCTGAAGCTGAGCCCTTCCTCAGCAAAGTTGTGCCTAATGCCATCAAGGTCCTCTCCTCAGAGAAATGGGGTAGGGATGGAGGTCTGGCACCTGCAGAAGTCCAGGAGGTGAGGCTCATCCCAGAAAGCTGAGCTGATTGTCTCTGGAGAATGAAAGCATAAGTTGTGGCTGCTGGGCCAGATGAGTGAAAGGAGAAGCTTGATGGGGAGGTTCCTGTTTGTGTGTCTGCAGCAACCTCAGCACGCACGCAATTGATCTGCTCTGAGTCTGACCCTTAGGGCTGGCAGAAATCTCCTCAGTGGGGTGTGGGGACTGCTGTGGCTGGAGACCTCAGCGCACCGCTTCTCCTGGGGGCCTGCATCTTGGGTAAGCTATTGCTGTGCATTTTTCCAGTCATTATTTGAACTTTCTTGGATTTACTTGACAAAGCTTGAGGGTGGAGAGGCCACAATCCCAGAACACTCTGTCTTTGTAGGGCCACTACTCTATGGTGGTCTGGTATGTGCAGTTTGAATTTCCATAATGTCGAGTGACTTACGTTAAGATAATCAGAAAAAGGCGAATGAGGTAAGCTCCTAATAAAAGAGTAAGTGACGGTGATGACAGTGAAGTTTTAGGTTTTAAGTTGCTTGTGGCTACAGGTAGAGCTGTGACTGGCTGTCCTTGAGCTCATGGCAAAATTCCTCTTTCACTGCTCTCCCTGTTGTAGACACGCCAGCATCTAATCTTTAACAGCCAAGAGTGCAAGCCTCCCAAGAGAGTGAGGCTAGCATCCTCACTTCCTTGGCATAATACCAACCTTGGGAAAGACGAGCATGAGATGGTTTAGGTACAGTTCTGTCTGAAGGAGGCAATTGGAGTACCGTCTGATGTCACAGGTACCATTCAAGAGGAGGGTCGCCAGATGTAACCTGCACTGTGTTCCAGAAGTTGTGTGATGCCCAGTGTGCATTAAGGGGTCTTGGGAGGAAAAACAAGAGCACAGTTCTAAGAGATTTATGCCTTAGAGCAGTTATATGAACTTGATCGGGAGGACTTCTAAAAGTTCGTGGAAATTAGAAACCACAGTGGACTTTTGGAAAACTCCTCCGTGTGTAAGGATTTTAATTACTTTCTGCATCTGGGTCTTTTAGCTCCGTTTGCCATGAGCTTCTTGAAGGGTGCTTCTATACTTCAAAGCAACTGAGAACCCCAAGGCTCTATGCGTGGCACTATGAAGCAAGACGAGGGGAACTTAGCCCTGTGGCTGGGTGTGTGATGTGAGTGAGGCAATGCTATGAAGGTGTCTGTTGGCATGGGGTGGACTGTCTCCACTAGCGACAGGCTCTTGACTGAGATGACACTGCTCTCTTATTTTGTCTCATAATATTATGATAATTGAGGGCAGTTTTCATATTCTCTGTCATAGGGTCATTGTCATGAGTTTATCTCATGAAGTTTTATTTTCTATCTTAATTATGTATTCCTCTACAACAATAATAATAATAGCAAAGGGAGATCCCAATGGTTGTAACCCTCCATGGGTGATGAAAGCTCCTTTTTAGGAGTTATCTGTCAAAAGAGCTGTGAACTCAGTCGAGATCTGGTGCATTCAGGGTGGTATGGCTGTAGACCAGAGCTGTGAACTCAGATCAAAATGTTTGGCCAACATATGAGATGACTTGCTATGCTGAATTCTCTCAAGAATATCTATTTACAAGATCTATCTGTGTCTGGAATGAGAAGGAAGCAGATAGAAGCTAAGAAATGAAATGACACTTGTTATTAAGGTGCTTCTGAATGCTTTGGTTGGATGTTTCAAAGCTGTGATTCATTTTATATGTATTTATATGTGAAATTCATATATGTGTGAAATATTTTGTCATATGAAATCATGTGTTACATATATAATTGTATATTTATATATAATTCAGAATTCTCATGTGTGTATACTGTATGTGTGTGCATATAGTTATACATTGCATAATGATAGTTTTGTCACACTGGATTATGGATACAATTGTGGTCCCAATGGATTATTTCACTTCCTGACTTTACAATTGTGTAAGCGCACTCTATCATGGTCACATAGCAACAAAATCACCTAACAACATATTTCTCAGAACATATTCCCCACTGTTAGGCAACAACTGTATCCTTGATGATAGAAATCTCTGAATCTTTTCCAATTGATTAAGAAATTAAAATTTGACTAAAGTCTTGCTGGCAGGTGTTCAAGGTGTTGCAGGCTCAGCTGATGCGTAGTCGTGCAATGCTCCTGGGTGCTTGCTTCTGAGCCAATGTTAGAAGTGCAGTAGACCTGGACAACATAAGACATAAGCTTGTGCTCATGGTGGGGGGGAGGGCATGCTGGACACTGGGGAGCAAGGCTTTACTCAAAAGAGTACATAAATAGAGAATTAGAACTCGGTGATAAATGCCCTAGAGCAAAGATTAGTAGTACTAGTAAGACATACGACCCAAGACAGTTGGTTGTGGAGAAATGTCCCAGGCAAATGACACTCTAACTTGCATCTCAAAGATGAACAACCGTTCATGGGGTGAGGGTGTGGGCAACAGGAGCTGGAATTACACTTAGGGATATTGTTGTTTAAAAAAGTTCAGAGAATCTTCATGGCAAAGCTGATGACTTTCACATCCATGAAGAAGCAAAATACTTCACACCCAGAATGCTTCAGGTTGAATTATGGCCCTGGCACCTGTTCTGTGCAGTCTGTGCCTCAGTTTCCTCATCTGTAAGACTTGAGGCAGAATTGTGGTGTGGATTAAATGAGTGAATGTGGAAAGTGCCCAGTGCCTGGTGTGGGACCTCCGCCAATTTGTTGCATTCTTGTCCTACTGGTTTGTAGTGTGGTGCCCTGTTAAGTAGCAAGATGAGTTGAAGGTCTGATTTCTTAAGGTTAAGAATGAGGTTCAGGGAGGTTGAATGCTTTTCCCAAAGATCAAAGAGTAAGTTCATGAAAGATTTGAACCACAAAGAGAACTTAAAAAGAAAAAAAAAAAGGCGGGGAGGGGGGTGCTTGGCACGATAGCATAGCTGTTAAAGTCCTTACCTTAAACATGCTGGGATCCCACATGGGCGCTGGTTCTAATCCTGGTGGCCCCACTTCCCATCCAGCTCCCTGCTTGTGACCTGGGAAAGCAGTCAAGGACATCCCAATGCTTTGGGACCCTGCGCCCATGGGGGAGACCCAGAGGAAGCTCCTAGCTCCTGACTTCGGATCAGCTCAGCTCTAGTCATTGTGGCCACTTGGGGAGTGAGTCAGCGGACAGAAGATCTTCCTTTTTTTTTTTTTTTTTTTTTTTTTAAAGATTTATTTTTATTATTTTTTATTGGAAAGGCGGATATACAGAGAGGAGAGACAGAGAGGAAGATCTTCCGTCCGATGATTCACTCCCCAAGTGAGCCGCAACGGGCCGATGCTATGCCGGTCCGAAGCCAGGAGCCTCTTCCGGGTCTCCCACGCGGGTGCAGGTTCCCAAAGCTTTGGGCCGTCCTCGACTGCTTTCCCAGGCCACAGGCAGGGAGCTGGAAGGGAAGCGGGGCTGCCGGGATTAGAACCGGCGCCCATATGGGATCCCGGGCGTGCAAGGCGAGGACTTAACCACTTGCGCCATCGCGCCGGGCCCCAGAAGATCTTCCTTTCTGTCTCTCCTTCTCTCTGTATATCTGCCTTTCTAATAAAAATAAGTAAATCTTTTTTTAAAATTCCAATTCAATGCTTTTTCTGCTGAAACCATTGCTTCTTTTTTCATGATTGCTGAGTTCTGATGTTGTGTTTGAATGGCTAGCACTGAAAATGGGTCTCTTCTATCAACCAGATAGTGTGCACATTTCTAAGAATTTGTTTGAAAGTGATTTTGGGTGTGGCACTGAGTGATTCAGGCTTGGGGACTAGCTTCAGAATCTTTTTAGGGTCATTGGTTTCCGCTTGCAACAGGGTGGTAGAGTTGCAGGATGCCTATTGATTTTGGTGTCAGGGTTGCATTGGCAACTACGGGCATTTGTGCAGCATGTGCCCAGCACTCTACAGGTGCTATAGCTTGGGAGTGGAACACAAATACCAGTGAGACACATGGAATCCTGTGCTTGAGACTGTTCAGACTTGAGTCGGTGTTGGTGACAGATAGGCCAATCAGTCATCACTCCTCTGTGCAGATGGCGGAGTATTACCAGAGCTGCTGTCTTCTGGGCAGAGGGAACACCACCAGTTCCCTGGGGGAAGACTCATCCAGGAGGTAGCAAGGGTCTGGATAGGTTGAGCTCAAGTTAAGGAATGCTAGAAAGGAAGCCCTTTATGGCTCCCATCTATG